GCCAGTAAATGGTCCGATAAGCTCCTGCAATCCGTGTAGTACACGTGCGCCATTCGCCTCTGGGTTTCTTCATGCCAGTTCTTGAAGTCATCAAGTCGTCCGGTCAACTCACAAATCAGGCATCGTAGACGATCTCCATGTTCGACTGCAGTTTGCAGAGCATATGCTTCTGCTTGCAATGTAGCACGACACACCCTTTTGAGGGTGGTTGAACCAAAGCTGATCAGATGCATTCTGTGACTGCCTTCCTTGAGGCTGCTCGCATTCGTTATGTAGTGAATGCGGCCTTGCTGACTCTTAAAGCCTTCTTCGTTTGCGAAACTTGCGTCGCTAAATGTCACAACTGCCAGATCGCTCCAGTCAATCCAATCACTCTTGAAGGTGATCTGCAAGTCACTTCCTTGAAGTGCCAATTCAACAACTTTGTTGGCATTCTTCAAGTCTTGCACTGTTGCCTTTGCGCTACATGCACGCTGCATCTCATTCACACGGTAACAAAGGTCTGGTCTTCCATAACGAGCAACCCAAGCCAAACTACCAACAACGCTCCTGAGGCTTGTCAACTCCTTCTCTGTCACCTTTTCCGACAGCTTCCGGTGCTTGTCGATTTCGATCGGCTTCACTGTTCTGCAGTTTTCACTTGTAGAAATGCTCACGGAGTAATCCTCATGCTGTACGAACTGACGTCCGCAGTATCGGAACTTTCCCGATTCTGTTTTGCCAATCGTGAACCTTTTGAGGAGTCAATTGTCTTCTTGCCTTCATCAAGGTAGCAATACAACAAGTCGTCGACATGTGTCGCGACCATGCCTATCAACTTTCCCTTGGAATTGTGCAAATAGTACAATGCAGGTGTGATGCGACTGCACTTCAACCCGGCACTGGTGATCTCACCATTCATCCTCAAGTAAAAACCTCTGCCAGCGTCGATCGTGCCATAGATCGGAAGGCGTGCAACTAACATTGCATCCGGTGGAACATCCGGGCTTGGAATTCCACCACGTGGCTGTTTGAGCAACAGCAACCTCGTCATAGGCTGACTTTGAAAATACGCTGAAGAAACATCTGCCGCATACAGGGTCACACGATGGCTTGATGCGAAGCTTGCAATCAACATGTGTCCTTCAGTCTCAGCAGTGGGGCTATCGCAGCGAATACCCTGTGAATCACGGCTCACTTGTTCGTGATTTCCACAAGCTACTAGCCGAGATCTGTTTTCTGGCCGATGCTCAGGCGTACCTGTCAGATGAGCTTGCTTATCCACATCTACCCATTGCATAGGAATAGGAACATGCCCTTCTTGAAGCAACTCTTCCAATTCCTTGCCTCGAATAGGCATTGCAGCATTGAAGCTCCTGTATTTGCTCCACTCTGCACGACGTGCATCCAAGATGCGGGCTTGCATCTCGGGAGTGCATCGGTCGTATTGCAGCGTCTTTGCCACCTTGCCAACCTGCGTCTCACTGTTTTCTCCAAAGCGTTGAGCCACGAAGGCTCGAAACTCTGCAGCATCGAGTTCAGTGTCGTCAGCAGCGGCCATGGCGGTCAACGGGTGTTTTACCCGTGTAAAGATTGTGAAACCTGTCCATGCGCGAGAATCAACATCATCCATGCCCGGCATGGACTCGCTGGTCATTCGACTTCCGTCTTCATAGACTTTTCTGGTTACGCGTCTTCCTCCGAATCCTTCCGGAACATCTCCGTCATGCAGCGGATGAAAGTCATGGAATCTCCTCTTGTTGTGAACACGAATTGCATGGTTCTCAGAGATTCTCCAATGGTCTTCATTGTCAACCAATGCAAGCATGACCTCATCATCACCACCAATGCCTCCGGGGGTCATCGGAACTGCGACTGCGCTTCCACTCGCGCTTGCAGATGATCGGGCAGCCTTGCCCGTCTTATCTTCTGCTTGTGCTTCTCTCTTCTGTCCCTTCTTAGGGCTTGCTTCTTCATCCATCATTCGGATGTACTTCTGCTGTCCCAATGTCACTGCCTCCGGGAATACTGGAATGTTGTTCAAAATAGAGTAGGCCAAAGATTCACTCTCATTGGCTGATCTAAGTTTTCCAGCGGCACACAAAATAGGAATACCTTCATGTAGCAACCAGATGCCATTATGCGGGTCGATGCCAATCACACGCGAAGCAGTGGACCACACGGTTCCACCTTGCTGGGTGTCTCGACGGTAGACCACAAGGTCTCCAACCACAAATGACTTCTTGTTCTGGACTGCAGCATTCCTGGTCAATGCTCTTGCAACACGGGAGCTTGTATCCAAATGGATAAATGCCTTTTGTGCAGCCATACGGGATGCATGACACAAATGATAGCTTGCTGCAGGGTCAAGCTTGTTCTCCAAGATGCCCAAGTTTCCTGCCTCATCCATATCTGTCACAGATCCTGGAACTCTTGGGTTCCTACCCAGGACCCATTGTGCTGGAGAATAGCCTTGGACTCTTTGCATGTGGTTCTTCACGGAAGTGCATTCGTGCAAACATGTTTCAAACGCATTGCGACCAACGGCTTCCATGTCGTGGATGGTCTTCCTGAGGATTGCCTTCAAGATACCTTGGTGCCTTTCAACCTTGCCAATGGCTGATGGGGTTTCCAATGGTGCATAGAAGATCTCAACACCGTGCGAAGCGAACAGCTTGGACACCCCACCTCGGTTGTGGACACCTCTATCCATGATTGCAGCCTTTGGAAAACCTGCCCAACTGATCCATCTGCGAAGGATGGCTTGTGCACAGGCTTCTGACGTTGGCATACCTCCACCTTCTTTGACAACCTCTGACAAATGGAATCCTGTCGAAATGTCTAGCATCGTGAGAATGCTGTACTTGTTCCCTGCATAGTCCTTCATTTCTGTGACATCAAGACCAAGCATGGCATTGAACTCATACTGGAAATTACTATTTCCTACCGGATGGTCACGGGGACGTGGCGCAGTGTCTTCGCAGGACTGACAACGGACGAGACGTGCAGCTTCGATCAACTCCTTACTTGCCTTACCTGCCTTTAAAATATTCTTCAAAGTTGACGGTGCGGGATGTCCGAACTGCCGATGCAAGCGGCGAATTGCAATGCGAGTCCTCTGGGGGAGAGCACGCCACAGTCGTCTCCGTTTCTGTTCCGTCATGTCGGCTCCGGGCAATGCAAGTTGATCTAGCATAAGTTCTTCCTGTTCTCTTGCCGTCAACGGTTTTCCATCATCATGTTTGGTTTCCTGGAACACTCCCTCAATGTCACTGTCCTCGATTTCAGTAATGTCTTCAAGTTCGTCTGCGACAAAACATGTCCGTGCAAAATGTTCCAAATAAGTTTCTTCTGACATGGTGTTCAACATCTCTAAGAGTCTTGCCGATTTCGCGTCTTCGAAACATTTTGGAATCATGTTCTCTCCACACCAACCTTCCAGCGCCTCCAGGAGCTTGGGGCTTTGCGGACCTGCCAAGGCAAACTCTAGGTCACCACCAAGGCAAATGGAATGTTCGACAGATATCTCGAGAAGTGGTGTGAAAAGAAGAAGGTTGCAACCATACATGTCGACTTCCATGAGCATATCATTCCAAATCCTCCTGGGGTCCGTGTTCTCCAAAAACAGTACAACCAAACCAGGGATCTTATTTGAAATGTGCCTGATGACCTCCTTGCGGGTCTTCACCCAATTTGCACCTACATCGAATACCTTTGCACTCTGGGGTGCATTGATCAACATGTCATCCTTGACAATGACCATGTGTTGCACACTCAACGGGTTATTCGAAACTAGTGCATGCAAGACTGAGTCATTCTCTTGCAAAGTCTGCAGGCCGGCGACAAACACTTGTTTTTCTCCTTTGTTCTTGGTCCGGTGATCTAGAGCTACGAATGCGTGACCATCGCTGTCGGAGCTCAGCTCGATCTCTCCTTGGAAGCGGCTCATGATGAACTTGTCTCGGTCGAGCACCTCACGCGAGCTAGTCGGACGATCCGGAGTGCTTCGTGTACTCATGGTAACTACGTCATCGTCTGACAATTCCTCTTTGGGTGCGTTTGACGGATCGATAGCGGTGCAGCCATGGAACGGTTCAACAGGTTCAGCATCAAGTGCATCGTCCATGGTCTCCTCCTTGGGAGTCTCTTCTGCCGTCTCCACTGGTTTCGCCATCTCTGTGGCCTCTGTCTTCGTGCGTTTCGAAGGTCCTCCGCTTGGCCCGTCTCCATTTTCTTCATCGTCACCAGGCGGTTCTTGGCCACCATCTCCTTCTTCATGGTCATCGCCTCCTGGGGGCTCTTCTTCCTCCTCCTCAACATCTTCATGCTCTTCGGGTCTCGCGAAAGGA